GCAATGCCATTGCGCTGAAGATGACAGGAAGGTGACAGAACAATCTGTCTTATTGCAATTCAACATGAATCATGCTTTGATTTATAGGGTTACATTTTTCATGGAAATTCTGATGCATTATGATTTCTGTCTGTAGGTTCATGTTGTGTACATGGGAGATCGTCCGAAGGATACTGCATCGGTCGCATCGACGCACCACCATATGTTAGCAGATGTACTTGGCAGGTCTGGTATCATCATAGTGGGCTAAGTTCTATAAAATTTCTGACAATATTGTTATTGAAACAAAAGTTAAAGTATTGATCGACCGAGTAATGCGATTAAACTTTATTACTTGCAGTTCTTCGAAGGCAAGAGAATCGTTAATTTATAGTTACGGGAAGAGTTTCAATGGATTTGTGGCCAAGCTATCAGATAAAGAAGTGGCCAGGCTTAAAGGTTGGCAGCGTAATTCCTGTCTTGATCTTACAGGTCATGTCTGCATTTCTTACTCATGTTTCTGAATTTCTGTCGCAGAAATGGAGGGAGTGGTTTCAGTGTTCCCCAATGCCAAGCTGCAAATGCACACTACAAGATCATGGGATTTCATGGGTTTCCCTGAATCCCATCCTAGGTTGCCTACTGAAGGAGAAATTATTGTCGGGTTGCTAGATACAGGTGACTTGTCAGATTCAGAATGAAAAGTAAATGTTGCCATTAACAATCCTAAAATTCAGCTTTAGCGAAAGACACTGTGTTTCTTCGATTTTTGCAGGAGTTTGGCCTGAAAACCCGAGTTTCAGTGATGAAGGATTTGATCCACCACCAGCAAAATGGAAGGGAATCTGCCAGGGTGCAAACAACTTCACCTGCAACAAGTATAATCTCTGTTTCTATTTTCATTCTGTACTAATATTTAACAGGTCCAATACTGAAAAACGTTTCTTGAATTCACAGGAAGGTCATTGGAGCCCGTTTCTACGATCTTGAGAATATCACTGATCCTAGGTATGATATCAAGTCTCCAAGGGACTCATTGGGACATGGAAGCCATACTGCTTCAACTGCAGCAGGGATTACGACAAATGCAAGCTATTTCGGATTAGCTGGAGGTGTGGCTAGAGGAGGAGTTCCGAGTGCAAGAATTGCTGTGTACAAAGTATGCTGGGCAAATGGCTGTACCTCTGCAGATATCTTAGCAGCTTTTGAAGATGCAATAGCAGATGGAGTGGACCTTCTATCAGTTTCACTGGGGAACGATTTTCCAACTCCGTATCACGAAGATGCAATCGCCATCGGCACTTTCCATGCCATGAAAAATGGAATTCTGACATCCTGTTCTGCAGGAAACGATGGACCATTCAGGAGAGAAATCTCAAACTACGCACCTTGGGCACTAACAGTGGCTGCAAGCACCATTGACAGGAGTTTTGCCACTAAAGTCGTGCTTGGAAATGGACAGATCTTCCTCGTAAGCATTGCTCGATCCCATCTCTGATCCATTATATTCAACCTTCGTTGCCATTTCACTTTTCATATTCTTTCAAGCAGAAGCTTCTTTAACATAATCAACTCTTTTCTTCACCTCGTATTTGAAAAATTCAAGGGAAATTCGCTCAACATTTTCGACCTCAACGAAACCACGTTCAAATTGGTCAATGCTGAAGATGCCGCAAACTATACTTTTGGGGTTGGTCCTGAATCGGCAGGATTTTGCTTTCCTGGAACTCTAGTCCCTCTCCTAACTAATGGAGGAATTGTCATGTGCGATATTCCTAACACAATGGCCTTAGTGAAAGGGTCAGTGGGTGTTATAATGCCCGCCTCCATTGACGTATCCATACCTTTTCCCTTCCCTCTTTCTCTGATCAGTCCTGAGGACTACTCTCAGCTACTGGACTACGTGAGATCCACAAGGTGAGTCACTACAAATCTACAGTACCTTGAAATGTAAAAGTATTGAACTGGTTTACGTCAGGACATGTACAGATCCTTACTGAGATTTTATTCCCTTTCCTAGGACTCCTACTGCAACAATTTTGATCACTGAGCCAGTGAAGGATGTCATGGCTCCCACAGTAACCGATTTCTCATCAAGAGGTCCAAGCCCTATTTCTCCTGATATTCTCAAGGTATCAATCGTTTCTTTAGTCTCTCTTAAAAGCATATTTCTCAACAATGTTGCTGTTTCTGGTTGCAAGAAAGAAACTTTTCTGCTGAAAATTAAATACTGAGATTTTTACCTCTGCTTTCCATCGACACCGATAAAGTAGCTTTTCGACACAATTATGGTCAATTAATTCTCATTGTTTTGCAATGGTGCTCCTTGAAAAGTTCTCTCACCTAGACATATTGATTCCTGAACGTAAAAACAGCCTGACATCACAGCCCCTGGGTTAAACATCCTTGCTGCCTGGTCTCCCCTAGGAGGTGCTTCAGTATCCTTCTGGGACAATAGGATCGTAGACTACTATGTGCTCTCTGGTACATCCATGTCCTGCCCACATGCTACTGGTACTGCAGCATTTGTTAAATCAGCTCACCCATCATGGTCTCCTGCTGCTATCAAGTCTGCCCTCATGACTACAGGTAAGTAAAAAAAAATAAAGATTAGCATATCGTACGTGACCAGTGTCTTCGACAGTTGGAAATTCTCATCTAACTTCTTTTTTATAGCTTCAACTATGGATTCAAGGAAGAATGACGATGCAGAATTTGCTTACGGATCTGGACAGATCAATCCATTGAAGGCAGCAAACCCAGGGCTAATCTACAATGCAAGCGAAGCAGATTATGTCGATTTCCTATGCAAGGAGGGTTACAACACTACTCTTGTTAGAATTATCAGTGGAGACAACAGCACTTGTCCAAGCGACAAACTAGGCAAAGCATGGGACCTTAACTACCCAACATTTGCTCTCTCATTGTTAGACGGAGAGACTGTCATGGCCACATACCCAAGAACTGTCACAAACGTTGGGCCTCCGAACAGCACTTACTATGCAAAGGTTTCAATGCCAGCCCCATTCACTGTTACAGTACAACCATCAGTTCTATCCTTCTCACAGGTTGGAGAGGAGAAATCCTTCACTGTTAAGATTACAGGAGCACCTATAACTAACACACCTATCGTCTCGGGTTCGCTAGAATGGACATATGGGAACTATGTGGTTAGGAGTCCTATTGTAGTTTTCAACAATATGCCTTCAATTTTTGCATCCGTTGATGAACAGCCACAATCAAAACCCAAGTTTAAAGGTCCATGGGAGGGTTCCACTTCCTCCGTTTACCACAAGAACGGCATCTTTAAGAGTATGCAGAGGACAGGTCGATTCTGATTGTCTTTGGTCACTTGGTATAGAACCCAATGACAGTTTGAATGAACACTAGCAATAATAACTCCAAAGTGCCTCCTGCTTTACAGCAGTGAATCTGTAGTGATAAAGAGAACTCTATGGTTCTCTCCGAATAAAGCTTCCATCTGTTTGAAAGTAAGTTTCCTATGCTGTGAAATTAGTTGCATGGAGATGATATTATTTCACTCTTTCTTCTTCTTGTTTTACGGAACCAATTCAAAAGTAGTTCTATCAGTAGAAAAGGAAAACATAAACTTTTAATAAGAAAATGCTGGCCAAGTTACATTCATCCATAATTTTGAGCTTAAAAGAACCTCACTTCCATGGAGGGATTTGCAGAGGAGATCCAGGAAATATTCTGTTAAAGTCTTATCACTTTAGATAAGAAAATGCTTCAAATTTCTGGTTTGAAGTTTTAGCTAGGCAACTGTCACTCTTTCCATAAATACTAAAGGAGGGATATTTTTCATGCATGGACAAAATATTCAAACCACATTCCTGCAATGGCAAAATGGAAACAGACTACCTTTCAGAAAAAAGGAGAAGGCTTTGGCAACGGACTAAACTGCATTCTGCAACACCATTATTAAGCAGCAGCATACAGAAAGAACAATGGAATCCAGAAAATTCTCTTAATTAAATGATCTTGGCATTACAAGAGCTAATTTTGCATATTGAGGTGCCTCCACAATACAAAAATTAGGTTTGTCAAAATTTGAAATGTAATCCCATGAACCCAAGAATAATCAATAATTACAAAGAGAAGATGGGGTTCTGTTTTAACGCACAGGAGAATATAAGAAAGTATAACTGGAGGGGCCTAAAGAGAAGCCTACAGAGCTTGGTTGATATAAAAATGATTGTAGAGCTTCAAGCAAAACATACATCTGAACGGAAAACGTATTTCATGCAACATACACTTGTCCCCATGAATATGTTGGAGAGCCATCCCTTCAGCAGGAGCCACTACATGTGTCCAGTCTGGCCATTTGCTTCGTCTAGAACTATATTTGCGTATGTTTTTTTACTTTCCTTTTCCGAACATTTCGTGATATAACAGAGGCGTGACACAAACTTTATTTCATTATCTCAATACGCATCGAACTTGATATTCTAGATGCCCAATATCCATTATTCTTTTCCCACATACACAAATTTTATTTCATTATTTGGTATATTTGCTCCTTATAGTTTCATCGATTTGTCAAAAAAAATCTTTTATTATTGATTCGATTAATTGAGTACTTATATTTTTTTATTTTAGTCAATTAAATTAAATTTTTAAAAATTTTAAAAATGAACTGCTCAATAAAGATGATAGCTAAAAAATCTTACATATAAAAACTCATTAATTTTTTTTAAATATCTCAAATTTAAAATAATATTTTTTATTAAAACATCAAATAGCTAACTTCTAACTTAACCAACAATTAACACGCTTTTCTCATGTTATGTCTCAAAAAAATAAAAACTTATAAATTTTAGTTCACAGAATTACATTTCATTGTGAATGAAAATAATTGGATATACTCGTCGCTAAGTAAAAAAATCTTCTTCTCCCTCCCTTTCTGTAACATTTGTCCACAGGATGACATGCTTCTTTTTATCTAATCTGTAAGCTATACCAAAGGAGGGTGCAGGAGCCAGGGAAGGATGGTTAGCTGCTTACAAAAATTTCTCCAGGCCATACACTAGATTCTGCCATGATAACAAAGACACAGATTAATGGCTGAACTTTGAAATGGGCTGATGCGAAAAGCTAAATCTACAACAATGGCGTTCGCTGCACCGTTTGGCCAAAATGTTTCAGTCCAGATAGACCATATCTGTGTAATAATTTCTCGAAAGAAAGGGATGGATATTAACTGGAACTGGTTTACCTTGATTCGGATGACCTTTCTAATAGCCAAGATCAGGCCAGGCATGAGGCATTGCACATCAGTGATATCGTGTTTGATAGAATAAACCTGAGGCCATCAGCATCGATCAATGGTTGGATTATTCCTTTACAGATTAAAGAAAATGGGAAAATTGAAGCAGAACACATACCTCTCCTGGGCCAGAGAAGTAAATAGTTGTGCTAGAGGGAAGCCCTGGTAGGACCATGCTATGCACCCTAACCCCATCCTCTCCTAGAACTTGACCCCTTGCCTTACAGGATGAAAATTGTACAATGTGTCAGCTCATCAATTCTTCAAACTATAAAATGTTTAAAGATTTGAAAACTATAAATTAAGGGTTTTCCTCACATTTAAACTCTATAATTATCAAAAACATTTATTAAAACACCCTTACTTTTTTTTCAAGTTGATTGAGATCCTTTGCTCTTCAAAATTTCTTGCTTAAACCCTTTCGTTATAACACCATCAATCAGTAATCGATATGCAATCTATGCTTTTTGATATCTTTTATTTTACAATGTCATATGTCGATCACTAGTTGATAGTATTATAAAGTAATATAAAAATCATTCTTATGACCTTACTTAAGAGCTTAAGCTTTTGGGTTGAAACATAGTTTTTTGAAATGATATCGAGTCTTGATAACTAAATGATCGCAGATTCGAATCTCACCACTTCTGCTTTTTCTTCTAATTAAGCACAAGATAAGCATAGGCACATGCAAGTTTCAAGTCTAAACGACTTTCATTGGAGAGAGTGTGTTAGAAAATAATATAAAAAAACATTTTTAATGCCTCGTTTAAAAGTTTAACCTTTTGAGTTGAGATGATTCTTTGACATATGACGTTTTTGGGTTTAGATGATTTTTTAACAGATAATGTTATAATGAAATGTCTAAAATAAAAAATCTCAATAAAAAAAATTCGAAAAATACATGATTCGAATGCAAGGAAAACCCATAAATTAAGCAAGAAAGAACAACTTACCACAGCATCGGTTGATATATCTTCTCTGTTGTAAATCTGACCCAGGTTAGAGAGGTTTTTTGAAATTTGAACAGCATCCATTGATGGAAAATCCTGTTCGCCAAAGACATTTTAAAGTAATGCTTGATTGGATTAATCTTCTTAACTTGATTTGATACAAGTACATTAACATTTTTACAATCACTTACTATTGGATTTGCCCTTGATTCAACAATTTCAACGTTGTTGTAATGGAAGGAAGCTGTAATGGCAGCTTGCTGAAGGAGTATAGAACCAATGGACAGAGTTGGTGCAATCAGACAACCCTGCAGTCATGTACAAAATAATTGCAAGAAAAATTCAGATGCTGGGCTGAGGATGAATTGCAGAAGCCGCGGTAACTTCTAGCAAACAACAAGCTGTTATTATTATTAACAAAAAAAACTAAAGTAAAACGATCGATTACTATTTATCATACTATTTGAATGATTGTTAATTCAAACTCATTCATACTATTCACCTAGAATTAGATGCATTATTCTTTTTACTATATAGTGACATTTTTCAGTCGTCGATTTTGAGCTTCTTCCCATTCTCTTTGATTAACTAAAATTAATCGCCCTTCCAATAACATTGCTCGAGCACTTTTTTGATGTCGAGTTTGAACTTCTTCCCATTATTGACTCTTTGATTAAATTTTTTTGTTAAATAAATAACTAATTGCATGTTTTTTTTTTAATATTCAAGATCATACATGACCGTAAAATATATTTAAACACAAATATAAAATACACGCATTATATTAAACACTACAAAATGCATAATAAATTAAAAAAATTCCAGCAACTAATATTGATTGATTTTCGTATCAAATGCTTAAATCTTGATTATTCATTAAAATATCAAACAGATTTTATAAAATTACCCATAAAAATGCGCAGAATATGAAACTAGTTTATACTGTAATTAGTATTGGTATCTAGCTCACCCTCTGCTCACCATGCTGGCTTTGTCACAGAATGCAGATAATGCTCCGACAGTGTCCAGTTTAATCCGAGGAACATACACCACACTTTTCATGCCAAATGCTGTTGCCTAATCGTAATTACCAAATTGAAAACAGCCTACGATTAGTAGTAATCGACGAAGAAAATGTAAAAAAAAAAGTTTCAGGATTGGAAAGGAAATGGACCTGTTTCACATTGTCATAAACTGTGGAAGGATCGGTAAAATCAACAACTACTCCAGTTTCTTTTGACTGCATCACAAATTGCTGATCAATTGGTGAACTTTTTTGCTTTATGTTCATGTTGAAAAAGAGACTAATTACCTGAGATATGGAACCTAATACCATAGTAAGGTCATTTATTATTGGTATTTCAAGTGGTTCCTCCATGTCACAAAGCTACTTCGACCAAAAGCCAAAAAGGATTAATCATTGAGCAGAAGGTAAATTATAGAACAAGGGACATACAAATTATGATTTAAAAGGAGAAAAAGAATAGGAAACCTTTCCAATATCTTCTCCTACAAAATGGGAATCCACAGCACCTGCCACCTCCATTCCTCTTGCTTTAGTTACTGCAATTACTGCTGCCCTTCCTATTTCCTTTGCTGCTCCATTTATAACTACCTAAACAAAGAAAGTATTGTAATTGTCTTCTTCTTCTTCTTCTTTTCCTTCGTCTTTCCAAGCATTATGAAACTTGAAGTACAAAAAAGAAAAAAAAAGGTGGTGAAATTGTTACCTTAATGTTACTCTGAGAAGGTTGCATTGAGCAGGAGATAAAAGGCCTGGTTGTTACGTTTTTAGAAACTTTATGAATAGTAAGATGAAAATGGCAGCTTAGGGCTGCCATGGTTATTCCAAGCTCTAGCCCTTTGTCTCAGCTGATTTTGTTCTATGTCCCATGTTGATAAGATTATTTGTGTACCACAAGCCCACACTTGTTTGCCTAGGATAATGCTGTGTCCTTTGATAGGCCTTGTTTGGAGGGTATTCTGTGATGGGGACTTTTGAATGTCAGCACGTGCTGCTATTGGACCCATGGGAAGCAAAACTAGTTGGAATACTGTTTTCCTTCGATATCAACTATAAAGTGGCGCCACTTTTTCGACATTATTAATTAATTCTATTTTAAATAATCTAAAACATAGTATTCTTAATTGACATTTTGGATTTACCTCATATTTAATCTATGTATTCTTTAATTTATTTTTATTGAGATTCTGTACTTTTTTTAAACTTGATTGAAACTTTTTATTCATTGAAATTTGTTGATTCAAACCCTATATGATAACGTCGTCAACTATTTATCTAATATGATACGTTACTATTAATAACGACTAATCACTGAACAACACATGAAGAAGTGGGTGTATATATATATATATATATATATATATATCAAATGTTAAAAGACTACCCCCACCCCTCCATCATCATCAACAGCATCTATGATAAACGATTACCTCATCAATCCTTACTTTTAGGGTTTTCTTGATTATTAAAGGGATAATTTGTATTTTAATCAATTCTCATATCTTTGCTAGTACGAGATTTCATATTCTAATATATATTATATGAAAAGGTCTACTATAGATGTGTAAGTTATATCTGTGCCCATCTTTTTATTAGTTAGAGTTGCTATATTTATACATGAGTAGCTTATACATGATAAGTAGATGAAAGGAAAGATTTCACGCTTTACTATGACATTTATCCAATCAAGAATCAGTTTATCAATCTTGATACAAATTGCAAACTCATGATTTGGATCAATAGATTTTCCATTAGAAGAAGAGATGTGTTAAGCAAGGACACCTGGAGTGCAAAGAGATATAATCATAGAGATCATGGATAATCAAAATAGGTTTGAAAAGATATTACCAAGTCAAGTAATTGGTCATGTCAAGTTTTCTTCTTTTTTTCTTTTTTTTTTGTGAAAAAAAATCATCAATGTCAACGTGAACGAGAGTAGAAAATAGAGAGAAAGAAGAAAAGCTAACCATGATGAAAAGGCTTTCAAAGATCAATAGATGTTTGATACCATATAAGTTGTATTTGGGTCCATCTTTTTTCCGGTTAGGGTTGTTATATTTATACATGAATAGCCTATACAAGATAAGTTTTATAATTGTGTTTAGATAACCACAACTCTATGAGATAAATACATAATATTACTTTATAGGAGGTGGGTCTTTTAGGTACTCGTTAGTAAATGGGTATTCGGGTGAAGAGTTGGGTTACTATAGTGGTAGGTATTTTCGGTACTTGATGATGAGAATGCTCGCAAGAAAGCCAAGTCCCGAAAAGCCACCACCGATGCTACCATCACCACTAAAAGTGTCGACATGGGATTATTTCATCATGTTTAATGCATAAGATAATGGTGGTAGTGGTATCTCAATGCAAGATATGGGTATGGGTTGAGTACCGGTAGCCTAGATTCAAAGGAGGTGAGGAGGAGAAAAGGGATTCTTGTTTTGGAATATGAAACAATAAAAAGTGATTAAAAAAAGGTTTATAAAGAGAAGAAGAAAGCTAGTGAAGAAATGGATTGAAATGAGAAAATGAAAAGGAATTGTCGAGAGGGTATTTTTAAATTAGTGTATTTCGAAAGGAGTAGTGAGAGTTCAAAGTCAATTAAGGGTAAAAGAACTAAGAGCGGTATGAGCCCGGTTACAATTAGAGTTCGATAGCACTATTTTAAAGAGTCATGAAGAGAATACTATAAGGATAAAGGGGGTTAGTTTTAAGGTTGAAGATGCATCTAACGTAACAATAGATGTTGAGTCTTCAAACCCTAATAGTGTTGCTACTACTACATTGTCGGCTCATGGTACAAGGGATCATCAAGAGGTGGTCAAGGAAATTAGGATGAGCATAAGACTACTTATGATTATAGAAAAGAGGTTGTATCGATGCATGAGGTGAGCAATTTGCCTTACCAATACCAGCGAAGAAGTATCATTTTGTTTTGTTTTCTTGTTATGCTAGTTTTGCAGTTTTCTTGATTGCTTCTTAGCCAAATGCTCATACTTCCTTTTGGGTTTATGCTTATTTTTTTGGCAAATTGTCTATCATAGGTGCTCACACCATTACAACCTAAGTGTAAGTTTAGAATGATGACGATGGGGTTTAAATTTATTTCTTTATTTTTTATTAATTTATTATTAAAATCAATTGGTAAATTATTTTTTTAATTCGGAAGAAAATATTGTATTTTGAGACTCATTTTGCCTTGTGTTGTTCAATAATTGATTGTCGTTAACGATGACGTGTCACGTTAGATGAATAGTTAATGGAGGATCCGAATCAACAAATTTCAAAAAGTAAAGAGTTTAAATCAAGCCAAAAAAAAAAGTATATGATCTCAATAAAAATAAATAAAAATACAAAGATCAAAATACGAGATAACCCTTTTACTTTTTTATATGCATCCAATAAGTTTAAAAAGAAAACTTAACTCGTATTGACATTCGATCTAATCCAAACATACCTCTAAACATTGAAGGAAAAAAAATTAGATGGTTCAATTTGTAGATAAGTTTTTTTTTTTGGTACTAATGAAGGAAGAGTGCAAATTATACGTCTTAAGTCCTCTAACAATTATTTGATTGACCTAATAAGGTTCTAAATCATGCAAGATTCTAAATTCTTTGGGGTCTAAATTTGTGTCTTGTTAGTTTGAGACAGTCTTGATTTTAAAAATATCAAAATCTGCAAATAATCTTACCAAGTAGAGTTCAAAGATTGATGCTCCAATTATTGAATGCTATGGCATCAACGACAGCCAAAAACAATAAGGCAAATATGATATTTGGGTGGTTTCTAGCCTTCTAGCCAAATTTAGTTAGAAAAATAATCACTAGCAACCTTGTATCGAGTCATTTGGGATAGAATTTTGCTCTCAAGAAATGAATTATGTAGTCCGAAATATATTACTAGGCCTGCGATTAAATTCCATGAAAGGACAAGTAGTAAATGACTAAAAGTGATGCCAAAATTGGCATGGTCATTGGTTGGCTTGACTTGCTTCCAATGTCTATGATGTAGCCATACAAGGCATATTTATTAAACTCCATTCAGAACATGACTTGTCCAAGTGTTCAGATCATCAGTTTATTGGCTCAATGTATGATTCATCGTAGACGTATCGAATTTTAATCGGATCGGTGATTAGATCAACTAAATTAATTGAGTTTTAATGGATCGATAGTTTATGGGATTCAATTAAAAATTCAACTTTACATTAAACTCGGATAACTAAATATCTCGAATAATTTATTGGGTGGAATCAAATTTGACAACTATAATACTAAATTTAAGTTTTAATACTTGAAATTTGAGTTCTTGATTCGACAGAAATAGTCTGAAAATACTCTAATCATGAAATAAATAAAAAAATACAGAAGTATTAATTGAAATAAGAGTAATGCTAAATACTAAAAAATATATGGTGAGAAAAAAATTTCAAAAATACACATGGTTCGTCGTAATTTTAAAATGGTATTAAATTATAAATTTCTTTAATTAAATGATCTACGCCTATTTTTAAATTTCTTCTTATCGTGTTTTCTTATTATTCAGCATTACTCTTGAAATAATAACTTGCATTGGTATTTTACACCTGGGGAAATTTATTATTCTTGGGCCAATCAAACTTAACTGTTTCCTTCGTTTCAAAACGATTATATATGTGTGTGTCAAAATATTTGTGTGCTTAAAACTTTAAAAATATTTTTAATTAAAATTTATTTTAAAAAAATTCAAATAAAATTCTAAAAAAAAAAATCAAATAAAATATAAAAAAATATATTGATATGACTTAATCTATGTTAAAATTCAAACAGGACAATCTTTTTGGTACAGAATCATTATTAGGCATGAATATTTTCAGTAAAAAAAAAAGTCTGCAGATCCAAAGGCTCGATTTCAGATTGGTTTAATGGTGAGATGGAGGGCCACGTGTATGGTTGTCAGACATTGGCAATGATAACCCACTTGCAAAAACCAAGTCCAACACTTTAGACTGGACAGCAGAGGAACTGATCCCACCTTCCAATCATAATGCCATATGCGACATGACATGATACCTACATGATTTATTATTATCATTATTATAGATGTGCTAGTTTGGATTTAGACGAGCAGTTTAAAATTCAATAATCAAGAAAAAATTATTTTTTACTAGTTCAAAAATATTTTTACAATTACAATCATATATATATATATATATATATATATATATGTGGATTTTAGAATATATGATGGTGACTTTTTTTTCATTTGATTTTTGAGTTATGGGAGAATAATAAATAATGTGCACTGCAGCTATATATAAAGCTTATTTTCTTGCCGGGAATTGCCATATATGTCTCCCTTGTTGACAATAGTGCTCATGTGCTTGTCATACATGATGTGATACATTTTCCATTGGCTTCTTTCATTTGATGACCAAATTAAATGGCCATAACGAAATTAGCTTTCCATGGCAAGTTGGCATAAGAAATTTCCAATGACCATTGAAGATTGAAAGCAAAAACAAGACAAATATTTTGAACTTTAATCATTCAAGAGATTCTTGGATCATTTTTTTTTTTATGATACATACATGATTGAGTTGAATCTTAAAATATGTCGATAATATTAGCCTAATTCTAATAACTTTGCTTTCGATTTTTTTTAATGGGATTGAGATCCTTCTATATTTAATTATAAAATAACCCAAATAACAAAAATAAAAAATCCCATTTGCTTAATTAATCGGAAATTAAGTTACCAAATAATATAATGAAAAATTTCATGGTACCATATCTTACATGATTTTGGGCATTTGGCTGTCGGTTCACCCAT